TGTACAATTTACAAGAAAGTGATGGAAAAAAATTACAAGGTGTTTTCTCTTCTATAAAATAACATTTCACCACAGGCCTTCCCTCCTTCCTTCTCCTTCCCCCCCAAACACTGCTTTCTTCTCTGTGGCACAAATACAATCAATACAAACATATAATTATTGGGCTGGAAAATCACAAACATCTGCAGGATGTACCCAAACTTGGTAGAACCATTGAAAAGTCTAATAAATTTCACTTTAGCTATCTCTGATTGGTTTATTGCCATAGCGATTACTCCTTTGCATCCCAACACTCAATGGGTTGTTGTTGTTGTTTTAATAAAACCCAAGTTTCATTTTAAATGGCCTGGTTTCACAGACAACAGAGAAAAAGGAAAATGTTCAGGGGTGGCTGAAAATGAGGAGAGATAAAGTCCTAAGATTTCCTGCAGAGTAAATAATGCAAGGAATATGTCTATAAAAACAACCACCCACAGCTGTACAGTTAGAGCATCAGTTAAAGGCCCATAAGAGGCAAAGGTTAATGACTAAGGTTTACCACATCATTCCAAATGACCTAATACAAAAAGATTGGACTTAACAGCAGCTGGAACTTTATAGTCTAAAAATTCTTCCACTTATTTCATGAAGTATTTTTTAATTACACCCTTGGGGATTTGTGTATTGCTTGCTGATTACCCTTTGGAGAGGGTGGTAGGTTCTCTTCACATCTACCCCTCTTTTAATGACTATTTAATTCCACATCTGTCTAGCTCAGAGCTATTAGGTTGTTGTGGGGGGGTTTTTGGTGCCGGGGGCGGGGGGGGGGGGGGGGGGCCCGGAGGGATTGGGGGGGGAGGTTTCCTCCCTTAAGTAATTAAGGAAGAAAATACAGAGGTATCAAGAATAAAGCTAGCTGAGTGATCATGAAGAATAAAAACATATTTGCTATATTTCAAATGACTAATGACTAAATGGGAAAAAATTACTTCTGTTTTTGTACTGACAGGTGACCTTACTGCTGTACTTTTCCCTAGTCATGGCAGCTAGGGGGCTTAGTGGACAGAGTGAAAGATTTGAAGTCAAGATGACTTGAATTTGAATTCTGCCTCAGATACCAGCCATATGACCCTGGGCAACTCATTCAGTCTCCTCATCTGATAAAATAGCATCCACCTCCTGAGGTACTGTGAGGTATCCATAATGTAACATATGTAAAGTTCTTTGCAAACCTTCAAGCACTATAAAAGTGAAATTTATTATTAGTCAGACAAAATTTGGAATATTATATCCAGTTCTAGGCACCACATCTTAGGAAATCAATCAATCAATCAACATTTATTAAATACCTTTGATGCTCCAGGCACTGTGCTAAGTGCTAGGTATATAAAAAAAGAAAAAAAAAGGCAGTCCCTGCACCAAGGAAGCTCACAGTTTAATGGGGGTGATGACACACAAACAAATATATACACAGTAAGCTACATACAGGATTAATAGGAAATAACAGAAGGAAGGCACTAGAACTGAGAGGGGTTGGGGAAGGTCTGGTAAAAGATGGGATTTTAGTTGGGATTAATGGAAGGCAGGGAGGTCAGTAGTCCTCCCTGCAGAGGAGGGAGAACATTCAAGGCATGAGGGACAGCTAGAGAAAATGTCCAGAGCTGAAAGATGGAATGCCTTCTTTGGGAACAGCCAGGAGGCCAGTATCACTGGACTTAAGAGTGGGTGTTAGGGAGTAAGGTGTAAGAAGACTGGAAAGGTAGGAGGGGGCTAGGTAATGAAGGGCTTTGAATGCCAGAGGGTTTTGGAGGGGATAGGGGGCCACTGGGGTTTATTGAGTGTGGAGGGGTTGACATGATCAGAACTGAGCTTTAGGAAAATTATGTGAGTGACTGAATGGAAGATGCATTGACGTTGGTAAACTAGAACAGAGCCAGAAGCAGATAGCTAGGATGGTGAAGGGATATAAAACCTTGCCATTTAAGGATTGATTGAGAGAACTCAGAATGTTTAGCCTGGGGAACATTCAATTCAATTTTTTTTATACTTTATATAAAAAACCCGAGATATGAAGATGAAAAGCAACATTGTCCATGGCTTTAGGGGGTTTATAATCTAATTTGGAGGCAGGGATAAGTAATATGTGCACAAATAATTACCAAGGAAGAAAGAATATCCGCGATCCAAAGAAAAATGCTATAGGCAGCTAGGTGGCACTGTGGATACAGGAATGGGCCTGGAGTTCAAATCCAGCCTCAGATACTTACTGTGTGACCCTAAGTAAGTCACTTAACCTCTGCCTGATTCAGTTTCTTCAAATAGAAACTGGGGTTAATGGAAAATGTGGCATCTCTCTCCCAAAGTTGTTGTGAAGATAAAATGAGATATTTATAAAGTACTTAGCACAGTACCTGGTAGGAACTTCATAAATTCTTGTTTCATTTCTAAAAGAAATTTGAGAGGAGAGAGACCATTTTCCAATGGAGGAAATTGGGGAAGGCTTCATGAAGGGAGTGGTACATGATCTAGGCCAAAAAGGAAAATATTTCAATAGGCAACATGGAGTGAGTGAAGTCTGGGGGTTGGAAGTATCACCCGTGCAAACGAGTAAATAAAAAAGTTGAAATTTGAATCCAGGCCCTGTGGTTCCAAATGCAATGCTCTTTCTGTTACGTATGGCAGCTGTCTTCAAATACCTGAAAGACCTGAGGCATGGTTGATGAATAAAGCTGGAAACAGTGGATGAAGTTACAGGGAGGTAAATGTGATTGATTCTCCAAATTGTTAAGTAAATCCTCTGTCTTTCTCACTCCCCATTTCTGAGGGCTTTATCTTATATTTACTTATTTGTATTTCCATCCAATAAAACTTAAGCTCATTGAGGGCAGGGACTGTTTTCATTTCTGTCATTGTATCTCCAAGTACCTGGTACACAGTGATAGGCACTTAATGAATGGCAGTTGAATTCCACTTAATTAAATATAAGGTTGAGGCTGGTAAGCAGTGGATAAGAGCTCTGGGCCTGAAATCAGGAAGACTTGAGTTCAGATCTTGCCTCAGATACTTATTAATCATGTGACCTGGGCAAATCACTTAATCTCTATGTGCCTCAGTTTCCTCAACTGTGAAATAGGGATAATAACAGCATTATGTTGTAAGGATCAAATGAGATAACATTTGTAGAGTGCTTAGCACAGTGCCTGGCACTTAGAAGTCGCTATACCAATGCTTATTCTCCTCCGTTTCACCCCTCTCCCCTCTATCAGAGCTGTCCAAAAATGGAATGAAACGCCCCATAGAGTAGTAAGTTTCTTGTGACCACAAGTCTTTGGAAAAAAGCTGGATGACCTCATCTTGGCTATCACAAACAGGATTTGTTCTTCAGGTATTGCTGAACCAGGCAATCTCAGGACTCTGCCTTCTGCCAATCTATCTAGAATTTTATGATGATCAAACACCCTCTCCACTTGATGCTCACATCAACTAAAAACCAAACATTAACAGAGGACCCCTCCCCCCAACATTGAAGGATGCTAAAGAAGTATGAGATACAGTCCCCTGCCCTTAGGAAACACAGTTTAGTTAAGGAAACAAGCCTCATACACATAAAAAGAGAATCAGCACCTTCCTCCTTTCATTGCAGAAAGGGGGGGCTATGGATGTGTAATATTGCATACCCTATCAGACATGGAAGATGTGCTAGCTAGTTTTTTTCTCTTTGAAATCTTTATCAAAAGGGATGGCTTAATGGGGGGAAGGGAAAGGGATATACTCAGAAGTTGATGTGATTTGAAAATAAAGACATCAAAAATTATAAAATGTTTTAAATAGAGGACTAGCAATATAGGGATATATGTGTATATATATATACATATTATATATGTGTATGTATATAATATGTATGTATATGTATATATATTATATATATAATAAGTGATTAATGAAAGACACAGACATTAAGCTCTCTTTTAGCATTCGCTATAATGTGGGTGGCAAACATTTCTCAGTTTCATAGATGACTAATTTCTCTTAAGTCCCTATAGCAAATCAGTGATGAGCACTAGGGCATCATGTTTTTTTCAGAATTTAACTGCTGCTGCTATCTAATGCCAAAAATTAATTTATATTTCATTTGGGGAATATAATCAGATAACCTCTTCCAAACAGAAAATGTTACAGTTGGGTGGAACCTAGAGAACATCTCATCAAACTCCTCCATTTTCAGATGAGGAAAGTTAGATCTGTTCGTGTACACTTGTACACCCATAGATAGAGGACATATGCTCAAGGATTCCCCAGTTTAACTGTTCTGGGTCTGGTTGTCAGCCTTGCCGGAGAATGACCAGAGGCAATGGGTAATCCATAAAGTGAATAACTGAAAGTTGACAGTTTGAATGAACTAAAAAAACAGGTTTCAACAGTTGGTTGTATATATAGATATATATGTGTGTGTGTGTGTGTATATATATATACACACACACACACATATAGACATACATACACACACACATACACATATGTGTACATATATACATACATATGTCCCAGGCACAATATTATAGGAATATGAAGTTATTTCATATTTTCAAGTTCTAAATGGACCATTATTTCTGACCTTGGGGACCTTCTGGTTTTGAGGAGTCATAAATACTCCTGAAGTTAATCCAGGTTAGAAGTGGGGGGAGGGGGGAAGAAGAAGAGAAAGAAAGAATTCTAATTATACATTCCCTCTCAGACGGTGGGCTTTTATAATTGGGGAAGAGTAACACTGAAGAGTCAAGCCTTGGGTGGTGTGGAAGGATCCCTCTCTCTGAGCCTGGCGGCCTGACGGTGAGCCTTGGGAGTTGAGGGCGTGTTCTCTGAGCTATCTAGGATTTCAGGATACCCTCTCTCCCCTTTGCTCTCACTGGGTCACTCTCCGAAAGGCATGAAACACCTCAGAAACTGAGTTCTCCCTGCTCAAGCTCATTGACCCAACGCCGCCAAACAGGAGGGACTGCCCCTGCTCCAGTCTTCCTTACCTTATGCCAGAAGATCATCGTGTATGGGGTCTGAGGGTTCCAGGGGACTGTACAAGTCAGGAGAGCATCCTCTGAACAAATCACTTCCACCACCTGAGTCGCCGGCGCCAAGCACCAGGCTGCTGGAGAGAGCCGGGACACGGAATGTGCAGTGAGCCAGTGTGGATGGATGAAAGGAGGATGGATGGGGAGCAGTGAGGAAAGGTGGCGAGAGGAGAATTAAATGTGATGGAGCCCCTCCCCACCTCTCAACCCCCAAGAGCCCGAGGGAAGGGAGCTCGGGGTCGTTTTCTGGCACTTACCGCTGCTCAGGATGAGGAGCTGGAGGAGGCACATGGCTTGGGGAGCGGGGCTGGCCGCGGCTGAGCACAGAGACGCAGTGGAGTCTGTTAAGCTCTGCCTCCCAGGACGCCAAATCTCACAATCTGGCTAGCTGAGCCAGCGGCCTCAACCTTCTCTAGCCAACCCTGGGGCTTTCCCTATGTCGTCACACTCTTGTTCCCCTGAGCTTTAGGGAATCCCCCTGAGAAGAGACTAAGGGGACCAGTCCCTCCCCCCAAGATATTGCGCCACTCTGGGGCATCCCCCACTCCACCCCCCTCCCCAACGGCGTGGACAGCTCCACCCCCTGCTGTCCTTTCCCTCTCCCCCGCCTTTCACTTTCTCTTCCCTTTCTACTAGGCTGCTTCCCTGCCTAGAGGCAGTACCATCTGTTCTGTGAGCCCCAAGGTACACTGCACCCCTCTCTCGCCCGGTTCTCTGCCAGCCGCCCTGGCTCTAGAGAGCTGGGCGCTTTGGGGTGGAGGGGAGCCTCGGAAAGTAAGTGCAGGGAGCCCCTTTCTTCTCTGATTTCCAGAGGAACCCACCAACCATTAGCTACTGCCACCAGAACTACTCCGGGGGGAGGAGGGGGGACTCTTCTTTCATTTTCTGCTTAAAGGATGCAGGATTTCAGCAGGGTGGGAACTCCTTCAAGAGGAGCATATCATAACCCCTCCTCCCCCTCACGACTTGCTTTGGCTCACCAGCCTTTGTAGATGATGCCTAATGAACTTGGGCTGGTTCTGAGACGATAGACTGAGCCAACCCATTAAAGACTTGTCCACCCTTTCCAGCTTGATAGGACCTGACAGTATGCACGCCCTCAGATGGCTTGCCTTCTATTACCTAGGGTCACAGACGTGCCTCAGTGAAGCATCTCAGATCCTTTTTTCAAGGACTCCTCCTTAGCCCGTGGGAGTCCTTAATCCTTACTTTAAGGAACATCTTAATTTTCCAGATGTCCTGATCCGAGTCCCTAATGCCCTGGAAAGAAATCAGTTTCCTCCAGTTCCTCACCTGGCCTGTCTCCTTTATCTAGTAAAAAGAGCATACTTTCAGCATACATTAACTGTGCCTACTGTAACTAAGCTTTCAAGGGTCCTCAAACAACTGCCCTGAGGGCCAGCACCTTTGGTGCTATCTGCTGTAATACTTTAGCATATGAACCACAAATACACATATTTTATTTTTAAATGGCACACCATGTGGGTAGATGAAAGGCAACAAGTTATGACGGGCAGAGATCTGTACTCAGAGTCTGGAGGAAGTATTGAAGGTCATGCTTCTGACTTAGACTGACTGTGTGACCCTGGGCAGGTCAATTAACCTCTCACTGACTCTGGCAACTTTTTGACGTCTCTGAATTGCTGAACAGTTGCTAATCTGCATGGATAAGAGTTTTTTCACCTAGAATCCCCAACAGCAAATGAAACCATAGGTACGGATCATGGTTGGGTCCATTTCAGATACTTCAACAGGATCTGTGATTTTATCAGCATGTCTTCTGGATCCACCCACACGGATTCCCCATGGTGGTGTACATCAAGGTCACCATGGAGCTACTGATGTTCCCCATTCCATCACCTTGTGGCCCAGCTGGTGATGGGCCCTTACGAACTCAGCCTGACTAGTCTTCTGACGACAGCCTTGCAAGTTCATCAGCAGGTCCACGGTCAAAGCCTTTCCAGTGTGGCAGGACCAACTGCAGTCTGTCCATCCTTAGCACAGCCTCTAAGAACCCACAGGTCACTAACACCCTACAATGGAGCAGAGGAGTTGGACTTCAGTCAGGGTCGGGTTAAAACAGATATTTAAAGTCACATCCTATGTAAATGTTGGGGGCAGTTAAGTGGCAAAGTGGATAAAGTGCTGGGCCTGGAGTCATCTTCCTGAGTTCAAATCCAGCCTGAAACACTTATTAGCTGTATGACCCTAGGTAAGTCACTTAACCTTGTTTGCCTCAGTTTCCTCATCTGTAAAATGATCTAGGGAAGGAAATGGCAAACCACTCCAGTATCTTTGCCAAGAAAACCCCAAATGGGATGACAAAGAGTCACACACAACTGAAAAAGCGATTGAACAACAAAAATGTGAATGTCAATCTGAATTTTATTAAGTGTAATGTTACTAAGGTTGATTGAATTTGGGGAAGCCCTGATTGGGAAGAAGCCCTCTGGCATTTACCAGTGAACTCAAGAAGATGATTACAGATGGATTTATCTTATTTTCTCTAGAAAGAAAAAGGGGGCAAATGATTACAAGAGAAAGTTGTATTTATTTGTCCTTCTGAAACCACAAGCTGACATCTCCATTCTCCTGAACCTTCTTTATCTAAGAAAATTCTTATGATTGTACATAATCACTATATTAAAGTCATTGGGATAATATCTATCTCTTGGAGGTTTCTGTGTCAAGTATTTGTGTTAAGGTTTACTTCTCTTACAAGGCAAAACACCCAAGCTGCCTTGTGCCCTCTCCTCAATACTAGAGCTTTATCTCCCTTCTTCCCCCACTCACCCCTCACCCCATCCACCATTCAGCATGCAAGTAGAGACCACTAATGTCTTTGGAAAATTAGACATTTTAAAGCCTGGTCATAGGCCAGAGAAAACCATATTGAAAAGGAATGTTTGTTTGTTTCCCCAAATCTTTCCCTTCTGTAATCCATCCTTCATACAACTACCAAAGTGATTTTCCTGAAGCATAGGTGAACCATGTCACTTCCATGTTCATGCACTGCACTCCATCTTCAACTTGTGAACACTTACATTGGTTTACTTTCATGCACTCTAGGCAGTTAGGTGATGTACAGGATAAAGTACCAGGACTAGAGTCAGGAAGACCTGAGTTCCAATTTGATCTTGGCTACTTACTAGTTATGTGACCCTGGACAAGTCACTGTACTTCTGTTTACTGATATGTAAAATGGGGATTATAATAGCACCCACCTCCCAATGTTGTTGTGAGGATCAAATGAAATAAGGTCTGTAAAGTGCCTGGCAGCTTGCACAGGGCCTGCAACATAGGAGGTGTTTAATAAAGGCTTGCTCCCTTCCCTTCCTGCCTCTTGGAATTCATTATTTCCTTCAAAATTGGACAAAAAAAGGACACTTACTTCACCAAGCTTTTCCTGATCTCCGCAATTGCATGTTCTCCCCCCCCAAAAAAAATTAACCTTGTATTTTATATGCATTTTATATATATACTTAGTTATGTCCTCCCCACCCCCATTTACCATGCCATTATTTTGTTCATTTACTTGTTTATTTATGTGTTATCATTCTGTAAGTTCCTTGAAGGCAGGGATTGTTTCATTTTTGTTTCATCTTTAAACCCCCAGCCTCTAGCATGGTGCCTGGCACATTGGAGATGTTTGATAAACAAATGGTAAATTAACAGTTTGTTGAGTGATTTTGATCACTTTCATTCTTAATAGGTTAAGGAATTGTTCACAATGGATTACACTGTGTGGTAAAATGCTCTTTAGGAATTTTTGTGCTCAGCTTAAAACATATATGCTGTAATATATAAAAAAGTTAGATGTTCCACACGTGCTTTTCCATTAAATTGTGACAGTTCATCTGGACACTACTCAGTTATGTGAGTTGAGAAGCCAAAGTGGATAAAATGCTTGATTTGGTGTCAGGAGCCTTTCTGGAAGGAACCCTGCCTCATATTTTTGTCGTTCAATCGTGTCTGACTCTTTGTGACCCCCTATTTGGGGTTTTCGTGGCAAAGGTAGTAAAGTGGTTTGCCATTTCTTCCTCCAGATCATTTTACAGGTGAAGAAACTGAAGCAAACAAGATTAAATGACTTGTCCAGGGGTCACTCAGCTAGTGAGTGTCTGAGGCCAGTTTGAACTCAGGAAGATGAATCTTCCTGATTCCACTCTACCCACTGTGCCTCCTAGCTTCCTCATGCGTTCTCTCCTAGTGTGGCCCTGGGAAAGTCACTTAATCTGTTAGAGCCTCAGTTTCTTCATCTGTAAAATGGGTTTAACAGTTACCTACTTCAGAGAATCGTTATGAACAAACTACTTTATAAGCCATAAATCATAACTCAAGCATTACTATTATTTTCTGAGATGACTGGCATAGAACCCAGGAATGCTACCCTTGCCTGTCCCCACCTACCATTTCTTAGGTTAGTCAATGACTCTGTGAACTGAAGCATGATAGGAACCTTATAAAAGGGGAGAGACAGCCAGCAATAAAGATGCTTTGCCACAACTGCTTGTCTTGTTGCCTGTCTCTTATAGGATGGTTCAATGGAAATAGGGTTGGATTTGAAGTCAGAGGCTCTGGGCTTAAATTCTGCTCTGCCTCTCACCATCTCCAGTGACTTTGGATAATACACTTAATCTTTCTGGGCCTCCATTTCCTCATCTGTACAATGAGATTAGTCAGTTCCTTATAGCTTTAAATCTATGATCCTTTGTCCAACTTGGTTCATCTAGGTCAAAGGAATGACCTTCTGGACCTCAGCTTTCAAAAGTTCTCACACCATTGCCCTAAGGGCCAGCACCTTGGCTGCTCTCATTTTTTGGGGGGGGGGGAGGCAATTGGGGTTAAGTGACTTGTCCAGGGTCACATAGCTTAGTAACTGTCTGAGGCTGGATTTGAAATCCTGATTCCAGAGCCGGTGTTCTATCTGCTATGCCACTTAGCTGCCCTGGCTACTGTAATTCTTGAGCAAGGAAGTAAATAAACATTTTCCAAAGTTTTCCTGTCTACTTTCACTCATCCAGAAGAGTATCTCCTGCCAAACCCTTCACGTTACTGCTTTCGATGTATCAATGAGGCATCTGTTGTTACCCCATCTCCCTGCCCAACATTCCTCCCCACACATGGACCCCACCATTAACCAACCCCCTAAAGCCAAACAGTAAGGAGTAAAAGGTCATCAGCTTTCTGTGCACTCACACAAGAGATTTTGAGAACCACAGAGATTCAGAAAAGGAAGTTAAAACTTTCCATATTGAGAGTGTATAAACTACGTTTGTTGGTAAAAACTTCCCTGTATGGTTTTTCCCTTTGTCCAGTATCTGAGTCACCCTGTACTTTCCAACTAGATAAACTTAATAGACAATCATACGAGAAATAAATTCCGGTATGTCATGTGTTATTTGTTTTTCTTCTTTGAAAAAGCAAAGTATCTTACATTGTTCCCATTCACATGTGAAATAAG